TTTTAGCTTCTCAACTGTCCAATTTACCTTGTATTTTCATATGTAGATCCTTAAAAGATGAATCCTTGTGTTTTCTGGTTGAGATTTGACAACTAAGGTATTTAGAATTTGGGCTCATTATTTTCGTTCCCAAGAATTTGCACAGTAGTTTTTGGTATGTTCTGCGTGTGTTTTTACTGAACAGAATGCCTGACTTTGCATGGTTGATCTTTTAACCTAACAGGAGCTCAAACTGTTTGAGAGAGTGTTTGATGGTCATGAAGGAGTTTGAATCCGCTTTACACATAATGAGGCAATCATCTGCAAATAGCAGATGTGTGATGGGAGCGAGGTGTCTTTTGAAAGTGTTATTCCTTTAATGTTGCCTACTTCTTCCTGCTTTTTGAAAATAGCAGATAAAGCCTGCATTCCAATGATAAACAAATATGGGGATAGAGGGTCCTCTTGTCTTAAGCCCCTCTCATTGGTAAAGATATCCCTGAGCTGCCATTAGATCAGCTTGATACCTGTGTTCCAGGAAGCCCGTCAGGTTTAGTATTTCAATGAGAAAGTCCCATTCCATGCGGTCAAAAGCCTTGGACATGTCTAACTTTAGTACATGTCATTTCTCTTTCCCTTTTTGTTTCCCCAATTTGTGGATGATTTCTGTGACCATGATGACATTATCATCAATATACCTACCCTCAATGTAGGCTGCCTGATTTTGGGAAATCAATTTAGAAAGCAAATTAAGGCTTTAATCTCTTGGCAAGAAACTTTGTGATAATCTTGTAGAAGATATTTGTTAAACTGATTGGAAAGAATTTTAATTCTATTGTTTCAGTTCTTGAAGCACTATTACTTTAATTTGTGCCTAGCTGCATTTGGTTGCGGTTTATTTGCAGTATTACAAATGCAAGGGAGTGCAAATGAAAATAATGCAAATTCTTGTTTAATTTTGTTTTGGGTTTGATTTTTTTCCGCTTTAGGTCTTATTTTACTTCATTTGTACTGCAATCAAACAAAATAAGGTAAAATTTGAAGCAAAAATAAATCTGAATTTGTACCCAAATCATTTGCACCACCATTGCTTTGCATCAGTGCAAAGCAATCAAGCACAGCCTATGAAAGAGTGCAAATAGTAATATATACAGTATAATACATATAATATGATACAAAATATACAAAATGATACAAAATAGAGGATTTGCACTCTACATATTTGTATTTATACTCCTTCCAAACTGAGCTGTTAACCATGTGTTTGTTAATACGTATGACTTTTCTTTATTAAAAAAGAAAATTGCCACCTTAATACAAACAACACGCATTCCCAACTAGGATGTAAAAGGATATAAGACCAAATTTGGATAGCTGTATATCTGAATTGGATTTGACAAGAAGTTGAGAGATTGAATTTCATCCGTGGAAATGTAAAACATATAGATTTGAATTCCATTGGTTATATCTGATTATTAGTATATTTTTATAAAATTACTTAGTATATGTAGCACAATCCGGTCACTCCTAATTGGCGCTCGCGCGGCTCCTGAGAGGTACTTGAAACGAGAGGAAAGAGGAAGAACTCCCGGGGGATTTTCCGACAAGAACGCTCCGATGCTTAAGTTAGTATTGTGTGCAAGAAGCTGAAGGAGAACGAAAACTAAGAGTGCAGGTTGCGCTAGTCATTCAAGATACCTTGTTCCTTGAGAATAAGCTCCTTATGACTGAATTCTGTTGCTTCAGGCCCTCTGACTTCTGACAGGGCAGGTATAACCGCCACTGTCAGTCTGCCACAGCCGTTACAGGCAGAGTTGAGATAGCACGCGCGGGGCCGTCGTGCAGGGTACGTGTCTGTCAGGTGTGGGACACCTTTCTAAAGGTGGCAGCGCGGCGAGGGAACATGCCTGCCACTCGCAAGTTTGTCGGGTATGGTGGTCAAGCAAGAAGCCCTCCTATGGTATACCGAACTGTTCTCCTGCGAATTACCCTGAGCTGGGCTGTCCTTTGAGTGACGAGCTGCCTGTAGCCGGTTATGCCGAGCTAGCCAACCCGAGGTCTTTGTGCCTCGGGGCGTCCGAAGAAGAATCGGTGTGTTCTTGCTTGGGAGTCGCCCGAGGTCCATTGGGAGGAGCTCGGGTCTCAAAAGGGGTCAGGGTGTCCTGAACTCGGGACCCCCCGAAGTGCCTTAACCCTGGAGAGGAGGTGCGGATAAGGCGGCTTTCGACGAGTAGTTTACCTGCCGAGTTACCGTGCTAAACTCGGTGGGACTTCCCCTCCGAGTTATTCTCACGTCTATTGCGCTGTCATGCTGAGTCACTGTTTGAGCAAGGTCATGCTGAGTTTGCAAGGGAGAGATTTGCATTTGGGCTTATAGTGGTTTGGTCAATGTCAAATCGATAAGTTCTATTCTCCCTTACAATTAATATCAAACCTCATGGGCTTATAGTGTTCAGTGTATGAAGTCCACAGCCACAAGGGACCATGCCTTATGCATACGGAACGTAATAGTGTGTTGACTCTTGATGGGTTCCGTAGTCCATCTGGGCTCTGACCTACTGCTTAACTCCCAACTCCCAACTTGGTGTTGGTTTGGACTTTGGAGAAGCTAGTTCTGAAAATGTTGTTGCTTACTATAGTTATTTCTTCTCCTTTGGAATTAATTTAATGCTTTGACTTGTGCTCAGACAGAGATTTATTACTTCCTTACTTCCAATAAATTTAATGGTTTGACTTGTGAAGATAGATTTTTTCAAATGTGTATAGCTAAAATAGTGGAGATCGGATTTCGTCCTCACAACATTTGTAATAGTAACCTTATAGTGCATTCATTAATAAGGCTGTAATTTTGGGCAGGTTTGGATTGGATTTTTGTCAAAATTTGAATGTACCCAGTCGAAAGGCCTGAATCGGAAGCTGTATAAAATGATAACTCGAACCAACCTTAGTTGCACCCCTATCATTAACCCTTGAGGATCCTACTTTGTCCATCTTCCGTCTCAAATTCCGGACTTACAAATGATCCACTCAATTAATGTTTCTTTTACTTCTACCTAAAAGAAAAGGATTAGTGTTTCTGCTACATGTAGAAGAAATAATGGTGGCTCCAAAGCTCAACATAAGATCATCAATTACCCTGGACTTTCATTTGGTTGTTTGGTCTCTTTTCAAATATAAAACTCTAGTTTTAATTCTTTCACAAGATCATGGTCCCAATTTAGGGCAGAAAATGGTACCTATTTGATCAAATTCAAACTATAACATAGTTTTCTTTTCTATCCTATCCATATATAGTGGTTCAAATTCAATCTGTCTATACCTTACGAAAAAAAAAAACTGATCTAACTGTAATTGGATTGAATATAGATCCATCCCTATTGAATTTAATATGGTCTGATTCAATTCGTGTGTCTATTAATTGGTCAAAGCCCTTCTGGTATCATGTCTTTTTGGTAGAGTAATTTTTCCTTCAAAAGTATTGATATTCATCCATTTTTCAGGGCCACCAATACTCTAAATTACAAGAGTTAGGTGATTTTATTAGTTTTAAATGATAATAAATTGTGATCAAATAAAAAAAAGTAAAAAAAAAAGAAAGATTTTCATTAGAAAGTGATATTTTTTAACCTTGTATGTACTTTACATTTATATTATAATTATCAGTAAAATTAGTTTGTTTTTTATTCTCTTTTTTTTTGTGGCAAAGTAGCTTGGATGTTATGTTTTCACTAAAGAGTCATAGGTTCATGATATATAGTATGAAAGTTATTTTTAGTTCATTTGTTAACAATTAATACATAATTTTTACCATTTTGAGTTTAATTTGTTAATGTTATTTAATATCTAATTGCAATCCAATTTTGATTTGAATGGAAATATAAATGAATCAAATTTGGATCTATATCCAGTTTGATCTGATACATTTGCAGCCCTACAGTTCAATAATTTTGCTTCAGTCCAAACTCAACCGTCTAACCCTACATATATATTTACTTTTATCTATCTTTATTTGTACATATGCATAACACATGTCATTACATTATATGGATGGACAGATTTGAAGTTTTGAACCCAATATTTAAAAACCCATTTTGGTTGCTGCCTTGTATAGCATTCATGTTGGTTGTGTACCAACAGAACCATATTCAAACCCATTGAACCATAGTTTTTTTTTTTTTTTTTTGAAGGAACCCATTGAACCATAGTAGGGTTGTCCAGTGGAGGTAACTGTACATTGGATTCAATTAAATATTCAATAGTTTTTCAACTGGCACTTTCTTTTCTCTTTTCCTTTTAGCCTCCAATGCTAATAGCTTCTTTGATCTCTTTGTTGTAGGGATAGGTTGATAGTTGAACCAGTTTCATAATTCAGTATTTCAGTTTGGTTGTGGTATATAGAAAATCCTTTTTCTGAATATAGTTTTGCAATCATGCTACCGGTTTTGCCATGTGGCAGCTGAAGCAATTAATTCACCCATGTTTTCCCCTGGTGCCGTCTTACCTGGAGTGGGGTCAATGAACTAATTCATCCATATCTAAGCTATCGATCCCTTCAGTGTCTACTCTTTAGTCCATTAATGAGAGAGAGAGAGGCTGATTGATGATCAATGGGTTAATTAATATATAGTCTGACAATTAGGCATTAGAAATGCTTGTCCGCCAGGGCTTTGTAACTTGACATGTTCCCCATATTCAGAGAATCTGATATCCACCACTAGCTACTATAGTAATTAGTAAGGTCTACCGACACGGGTATGAGTACGTATGACTGTACTGCATTTTCATAAGTCAATAGAAAGATAAGATGGAACAAACTCAAGAGCCAACAGCCAACTAAAGCATGGGCGCCGGGTCATATATGCATTAATGGTTACTGAGCCTCTGGGGATCTATAAATTGGCATCAGATATGAAACAAGTTTCCTCATCCTTGTTGAAATAGTTTCTTTCTTTTCTT